ATGGTCTGCTAGTTACAAACTCACCCCAACTCCTACTCCCCCTCCCTTCACAGATGTCAGTTTCTACTAGGTATCCTCTTTTATAACCAAAGTTTCACGGAATGGAGATGCAGGCCCTTATATGTGTCCTCTCTCCTGTAACCAGTGCCTCTCATACACAAACATGTATCTGGATCTACCACATTTTTTCTCCCACACATTCAAAGCCCCACAAACACACAGAGTCAGGTTTCAGTTCTGGCTAAGTACCCCCTCCCACACAGCAGGAGTTCCACTTACACATGCAGATCAAGGTATCCAGTCATCCTAGGTAGCTCCTCCCTGCATATTTTACACTCTCACGCAAACAGTAGGAACTAAGAACAGAAAAATGTAAAGAACTTGTGGCATTTCTCTTTCTGAATCTGAACTAACTCACTCAATATGATCTTTTCCAAATCCATCCATTTACTTAGGAAGATGGCTCACTAACAAAGAGGATTAATGTGCTGACATCTGATACTAGGCTTGTGACTTTGCAGTTGATGAGCATTTACAGGACCCATTTCCTTGATTAATGATGTAGGAGATCCCAGCCCCCTGTGAGTGACTCCACTCCTTCAAGTTGGTTCTGAGTTGTATAAGTAAACTGAGCCAGCCATAAAGAGCAAGATAGTAGCTAGGTTTGTTCCATGTTTTCAGCCTCAGCTCCTGCTTGAGTTCCTGCCTCAACTTGCCTAAATAACAGACTTAGATCAGGACATGAAAGCTAGGCATCATGTCCTCCTAGAGATCCACTGCCATACAGCCGAAGTCCCATGTACAGGGCTAGGTGTCATATCCTGCTAGGAACCCTCTCACCTACATGCAAACACCCCCGATACAGCTCCCCAGATTCATAGAAGACAAGTCAGGTTCTGGTATTTATCTCTACACTTGCAACCAAAGTTCCATATACACAAACATGGTTAGGTTTGGCTATATGTATATTCCTCTTATACAACTAGATATTGTGTCCTCCTAGGGGTCCTCCTGAGACCCTCCTAGAAAGATTTAACCTTGCAGAAGTTGAAATCTAACCCTCTGTGTGTATGTGGGCCTTTTGCTGTGGTGGAAGAAATGTTTAGACACAACAGACACATAGTTGTATATGTATGTAAGGGATTGGCTAGAGCAGTGCCTGAACATGTGTGTGTGTGTGTGTGTGTGTGTGTGTGTGTGTGTGTGTGTTATGTATGTATGTATGTATGTATGTATGTGTGTGTGTATGAGTGTGTATGTGTGTGAAAGTAGGAATTGACATCTGTGAAGGGAGGGGGAGTAGGAGTTGGGGTGAGTTTGTAACTAGCAGACCATGAAAGTGGCCCCATATTGGGGAGTTTTCCCTGCAGGGAGGAATTTCCATAAAGGGTCCTGTAAGAGCTCATCAACTGCAAAGTCACATACATAGGTTTTAAGAGTTGCTACATACCCCCTCACCCACAGCAAAACACCAGGTTCAAACATACAATCATACAAACACACAAACATACAAACCCATGCATACATACATGTACATGTGCAAACAACCGTGCATGCAGGCCTGTAGGAACCCTAATCAGACTGTGCGGTGCCACTAGTTTTCCCCTAGCCTTGTGGATAGAGCTTTGGATTTAGGAGAAGGGTACCTAGTAGGACCTGGCACCTACCTCTGGGTGTGTGGCATTGCTGTAGAAGATGGGATTTCTAGCAGGGCCTGACAAGTAGCCATGGACATGTATATGGCATGGCTATAGGGTAGGACTACATTGCCACCTCTGACACCTAGTTCTGTGTGGACAGCTAGGGTTGTAAGAGAGTAAGAAGTGCATCAGGACCTGACACCTAACTGTGTGTGTGTGTGGAGGGGGGTGCTTTAGCTATTATGAGTTGATACCTAGTAGGTCTTGACACCTGCACTACAATGACCTTCATACACATATATGGCTCGCTATCAGGTCCTGCTGGATGGCACCTCCATTAGAGCCAAGAACACAAATCTCAGAACCTGCTAGGTATATCCCCCTGTAGTCAAAGGACCCATATATGACTTGAAGTATCATGTCCTCCTCAGTAAAACCTCCCCCAAAGCAAAGCTTAAAACACACATTCATGGCTAGGTGTCACATCAATGCTAGGTACCCCATCCCCTACAGCCAATGCCAGACATACACACAGGGATGATGTTAGGTCATGCTGACTGTCCCCTGCCTTACAATCATAGATCTCTCTTACTTCTCTTTCTGCTCTCTCTTCTCTCTCTCTTTCAAACACACACATACACTTGCACACACATACATGCAACATATGCACACACACATGCAAACACACACATACACACTCATACACATACATACATACATACATACATAGATACATACATAACACACACACACACACACACACACACATACATACATACACACACATGTTCAGGCCCTGCTCTAGCCAATCCCTTACATACATATACAACTATGTGTCTGTTGTGTCTAGACATTTCTTCCACCACAGCAAAAGGCCCACATACACACAGAGGGCTAGATTTCAACTTCTGCAAGGTTAAATCTTTCTAGGAGGGTCTCAGGAGGACCCCTAGGAGGACACAATATCTAGTTGTATAAGAGGAATATACATATAGCCAAAGCTTGACATAAAATTGAGGTGTCAGGCACTGTTGGTATCCCCTCCCTTCTCTGTTCCCACATGTTTTATCCTCTCTTCAGAAGTTTGGGAGCCAGAAACAGCTGTGGAGATGACCTCTGGCATTTGTCTTTCTGGATCTGTGTTCTCTCACTCAATATAATCTTTTCCATATCCATCTATTTGCATAGAAAGATGGTTCACAACCAAAGTGGGTTATTGTGCTGAGTGCCTGAAACTGTGATTTTGCAGTTGGATGCAGGTTTCAGGACCCATTTTTATTAACGCCTAATAAGAGAGATCCAGGCCCATTGTTAGTGGCTACACGCCTGTAAATTGGTCCTGAAATGTGTAAGAAAACAAACTGAAGAAGCCATGAAGAACAAAACAGTAAGCAGCTATTCTCTGTATCTGCTACAGTTCCTTCAATACTTCCCCAATGATGGATGTTAAACAGGACCTGGGAAACAAATAAACTCTTTCTAACACATTGGGTTTTGTCAGGATGTGTCTATTATTAATACATAGTAACCCAGGACTGGCCTCAATTTGAAATCCTCCAGCCTTCAACTACTGAGTGCTGGCTGTAAGTATGTAATATATACCTATATGAACAAATAGAATTTTAAGATTAGATAGCTGTCATAGAGAAAACCAATCGATGCCCAGAACAATACAATGGTGTGAGGTTATTTTAATGAAGATAATCATAGAAGGTATCTCAAGGAGATGGATTTAAGGGATCCTGATGAATGAAGGTCACAACAAAAAAGTGCCCAATGATGTATACAGAGTTAGAGGAGGAATATGAGTTTATTTTTAATATGTTGAGCACCAATCATAGGATATAAACACAAGAGTGAAATCATTTGCCTTGAAATATTTAATCATGGGGCATATGAGCAGCAACAGTGATTTTAGGAACATCAGTTTAGGGGGATGGTAGAACTGTGGCAATATCATGGCTTGTTCATCCCATAGATCGAACCATTGGTGAATGTACCCATTGCACAGTGTGGTCAGAATATATGATAACAAATAGTGACAGGCACACACAACCATTGTAATAGACATAACACAGCTCCTGAGATCAGAGGATGTGGGACATTCTGAACCCTGTACCAGCACACATCCCATCCCAATTCCTGAAGCCTGGTTTGTGAGGTCAGAAGGGACTCCACTCCCAGCTCATACAGCATCAGTCAGCTATCCCCGATACAATCCATCGCCATGGGTCTCCACACCTGAGCTCAAGAAGAACACAGATGAGCCAAGTACAACCAAACTAGGAACACCAAGCACCAATCCAAACACTCCTTGAACACAAAGATAGCAGAAGCATTAAACCAACAAACTAAATCCAGATAAGCAAGCCCCATGACAAAAACAGAAGTAACATGAACTACCCAGGACAACATAACTCTTTCCCAAATGATCATTCCTAAAGTATGGGCCAACTATAAGATAGGCTTCAACCAAATTCAAGGATAGATAACATGGAAACCCCAAAGGCAGATGCATGGATCTCCCAGGGAAGGGGAAATAATAGAGCTTTCCTGGGTGGACTGGAGGAAGGTGGGGATGGGAACTTGAGGGTTTGGGTTGGGAGGTGGATGTAGTTGATTGTTTTTGGTCTTTATACTTTTGAGGAGCCCACTGCCCAGCACCCAAATAAAGCACACATGGAGACTTATACTTAAGTATAAATGCCCAGCCTTAGCTTTTTTTGTTTCTTGCCAGTATTTCTTAACTTTAAATGATTTCATCTGTCTTTTGCCTCTGGGCTTTTCCTTTTCTATTCTTGTATACCTTTGTCTATTACTCCATGGCTTGCTATATAGCTGGGTGGCTGGCCCCTGGGTTCTCCTCCTTCTCTGGCTACTTCTTCCTCCCATAATTCTCCTTCTCTTTGCCCATCAGTCCCACCTATCCTCTCTCCTTCCTTGCTATTGGTTATCCAGTTGTTTATTAGTCCATCAAGACAGGCAAGCTAACACAGCTTCATAGAGCTAAAAAATGCAACATAAACAAAAGTAACACACCTTAAAATAATATTCTCCAACAGGTGGTTGGAGGGGGAGTGTACTGGGATGACTGGAAGAGGGGAATTTTGGGGTCAAGTAGAATACTGATGTAAGGGAAATGCCCAAAAAATCTACAAGGAGGAAACCAGCTAAAACTTCTCAAGAGAGATACATAACCTGAAGTGGCCATCTCCTGTGATGAGATTGGTGACTACTCCAATTGTCATCAGAGAGTCTTCATGCAGAAGAGTTATGGGAAAGAGTTATGTTGTCCTGGGTAGTTCATGTTATTTCTGTTTTTGTTTTGGAAACAAATACAGAGACCCACAACCAAACATTAGGCTGCACCTGGCAATCCTGCTGAAGAGAGGAAGAAAGAATTGTAGGAACCAGAGGGGTCAAGGACGTCACAGGAAAGCAGAAACAACTAACCTGGCCCATAGGAACTCACATAGTCTGAACCAATAGCCAGAAAGCCTGCATGGGACTGACCAAGGCCCTCTACATATATGTGACAGTTGTGTAGCTTGATCTACTTGTGGGACTCTGAACAATGGAAGCAGGGGCTGTCACTTATGCTTTGGCTGGCTCTTGGGAATCTATTCCTCACACTGGATTGCCTTTTGCAGATTTAATATAAGGGGAAGTGCTTAGTCTTACCTCAATTTAGTATGCCATGCTTTGTGGATATCCATGCGGCAACTACCCCTTTCTGAACAGAAATAGAGGAGGAATGGCTTGATGGGGGG